TTCAGTGAGCCAGGTTTTATTGGACGTGGGGGTCCAATTCCCTGCACCCACTTTATGAAGAAGATTAGCAACAAGGCACAAAGAATTAACAGGAAGGTTTGATCCAGGCCAGGTATCAAGCTGATTGGCAGTAAGAACTTGAGTCACAACATCAAGATCAACATCAGGAAAAGGGGAAATATCAGAGGGAATACCCAAGTGAGAATTGATCAAAGCAGGCAAAAAATCTACAATACGGTTACGCAGAAAGAGTTTATGAAACCGAGGACTACCAGGTTCAAAGACAGCAGGGGTAAGATTGGCAAAAAATTCACAAACAGCTTGGTCACAGAAGGAACTAAGATCCACAACAGTTGTAGACAACCCAACAGAATCAATCAGAGGAAGAACGCCAAGTTTAATAAATTTATCATCCTTAAGAGGATGTTCACTCCAAAACCCATAAGACTTAAGACGCTCAAACCTGACATGAGAGGCCTCGGTATAGAACCGGTTTGTAAATGTATTTTCAAGATCATAGGCGTCATCTTCTGGTTCCGGGGGCACCAGATTTTCATCGATGGGGTCCTTGCCTCTACGGCGAGTGGAGCGGCGAACCGGGGCCCTTGGAGGAGGAGTGGGTTGGTCTGAGTGAACCTCAATAGTGGTAGCAGCGGTATCATCCTTGTCTCCGTCGGTGATAGACTTGGTTGCAGATGTCGGAACAGCAGACGACTCCCCCTGAGCATGAACCGCAGGAGGCTCAATAAACCCAGAGAGGCCGGGTACTCCAGTGGCCAGGGGAGAGACTTCAAGATTCTTGCCCATGTTGTCTGATTTAGACGGGGATCCAGACGGAGAAGAGGAGAGAGTAACAGATTTTGTCGGAGGAGACGATTCAAGGGATGGAGATTTTGCCGGTGGAGTGGATTCTCGTGCAGAGCTAGTAGTGAGAGAGATACGGCGGCACTTCAACCTCTTTTCTTTGTGTTTCTTGAGCCGCTTTTTCGACTTGTCCTTGCTTCCAGCCATGGGAGAAAAACGGTGATTGAGTTTGAAGAAAATAGGGTTTCAGTGGGTTGAAGAAGATAAGAATGATGGACAAGGAGAGAGAGAGATAGAGAGAATTTGAGTAATAATGAAAAAGTGAAGAGAGACGTGAGATATGTAATGTTCTGACATTGAAAACTGTAAAAAGGCAGTTTCCTTGGTTCAAGGGAGAGAGATAGGGCAGTTTGAGCGGTTTTAGGAGATAAAAACGGCAACTTATCCCTCCAAAAATCAAATTCAAACACAATAACACTCCTCACACAAATAACCTCTCTAATTATTTCGAAATTTAGGAAAGAAATCAGATTTCATATTTGAGCATATATTCTCCACAAAATTTTAGACTCAAATAGATCATGTTCAAGAAGGAAATCATATGCAATTATGCCTAAATTATGAGAAATAAAAATAAAGAATAAAAATCGCACACAGAATACACTAGATTGAAAAAATCTTTTCCTTCTCAACTTAGATAAAATTAGTGTAGATTGCCCAAGATCAACTTTGAAATTCAGACTTCCCAAGGAACATACGATAAACGGATATATGTATATACACAAGGTAGTGCAAACCACAACTTCAATATTGCAAGAACACATGCCTTATTACTCATGGTGCGTTTCACTTAGTAACAATCACTGCAGTAGTGAAAGTCAACCCCACTACTTTGCACCACGATTTTAAGCAAGGATCCTACGTTTTTTTTATTATTATATATTTTTTTAAAACAGCACTACATTTTTTATGAGGGTGGCCACCTTATTACTCCGAGTAAGAACACCACATAACAATATGCAATGCGTGTCACTAGCTTACGCCCTTTCTCAACATTTTCTGTCCCAGACGCTCTTTTCACAGTCGATCCCGCATTGGGAAACGAACCATGTGCTACATATCGCTCTAGATCATTTATGAGAAGGCAACTCTTTGTGACAAAAACCAAAAATACTGAAAATAAGTACGTTCCTCGGTACCGTAAGAACCCGCAGTCAGTCTTAGACAATCAACACCTCTCAAGTTTTCACAAGAGTTAGAACTTCAATCAAGAATCCAGTGGTGCAGATAATGCAAAATGCAAAACATGCCTAATGCAAAATACCCTATATGCTTACACACAATGCAATAGATACTTACTATTAATATACAATACAATATAATATAATGCAAAATCACACAAGCATTCAGAATGAGCAAATCCCTAAGGATTTCCTTAGAGAAATAAACCTTTGAGAATCAAGTGCCTTAGTGAAAATGTCAGCCAACTGGTTTTGCGTAGAAACATACTCAAGTACATCATTCTCAACTAAATCTCTAATAAAGGGATACCGAATATCTATGTGTTTAGTCCTAGAGTGTTGAACCGGATTCTTAGAGATGTTAATTGCACTGGTATTGTCACAGAAAAGGTTCACGGTTCCTACCTCAAGACCAAACTCAATCATCATTTGCTTCATCCACATAAGCTGAGAGCAGCAACTTCCAGCAGATATGTATTCAGCTTCAGTTGTCGAGAGTGCTACGTAATTTTGCTTCTTACTAAGCCAGGAGATGAGATTATTGCCAATGTAGAAGCAACCACCAGAGGTACTGCGTCGATCATCGACGTTCCCAGCCCAATCTGCATCACTATAATCTGCAAGACTAGAAGATGTGTCTCGTGAGTACAAAATACCCAAGTCAGATGTACCATGCACATACTTGATGATGTGCTTCACTGCCTTCAAGTGCGATTCCTTAGGATTGGCTTGGTAACGAGCGCACATCCCTACACTGAAACACAGGTCAGGTCTACTGGCAGTCAAATAAAGCAAACTACCAATCATGCTTCTATAAAGCGTAGAATCAACAGAAGTTCCAGCATCATCCTTGGAAAGCTTATAGTGGCTTCCCATAGGAGTTGCTGGACACTTAGAATTTTCTAGACCAAATTTTCTCACAAGATTCTTGGCATATTTGGTCTGATGAAGAAATATCCTCTCCTTTGACTGTTTAACTTGCAACCCTAAGAAGTAGGACATCTCTCCTACCATGCTCATCTCAAATGCTTTAGACATGTGAGTAACAAAATCATTCACCCAAGTTCTCGAGGTAGAACCAAAGATAATATCATCTGCATAAATCTGTACAATGATAATATCTTTATTAGAATTTTTAACAAAAAGAGTTTTATCAACTCCCCCTCGAGAATACCCCATTTTGACCAGAAATTGGGTTAAGCGTTCGTACCAGGCACGCGGAGCCTGTTTAAGTCCGTACAACGCCTTCTTTAACCTGTAAACATGGTCAGGGTGATGTGGGTCTACAAATCCTTCAGGTTGCTTAACATAAGCAACCTCTTTCAAAAAGCCATTCAAAAATGCAGATTTTACATCCATTTGATAAATCACAAGCAAACACGCAATAGATAAGAACATTCTAACAGACTCTAGCCGAGCTACAGGGGCAAATGTCTCATCAAAGTCAACACCCTCCTCTTGGGTGTACCCCTGAGCCACAAGGCGGGCCTTATTCCTAGTAATCTCTTCTGATTCATCCGTCTTATTTTTAAAGATCCATTTTGTTCCAATGACGTTCAAATCAGAAGGTCTAGGGACAAGTTCCCACACATCGTTTCTCACAAACTGTTCAAGTTCTTCTTGCATAGCCTGAACCCAAAAATCATCACACAGAGCCTCTTTAGCATTTTTAGGTTCCAACTTAGACACATAACATGCAAGGTGACACAAACCATCCATCTTTCGAAAATCAGGTTTAACTCCTCTAGTGTTACGTTCAGATAGACCTCCTATGATTTGATCCTGAGGATGATCCTTCTGAATCTTGGCAGGAGGATCTCGCCGAGATTCATCAAGATTTCCAGAGGATGTTGGAACAGCATATTCATTAGACTCCTCAGTTTTATCATGTTCAATGGTTTCAGACTTAACATCATTTAGCACATTCACAGTTTCAGAATTTGACAACTTCTTACCAGTGGACACATCTATGTTAATCACATCGGGCACAACAGCACATTCAAGAGCATCATCAAGAACGACATTTATAGACTCCATAACCACCTCAGTGCATAGATTATACACACAAAAAGCACGGCTGTTAGTAGAATACCCAAGGAACTGACCTTCATCACTCTTGGATTCAAACTTGCCAAGGTGTTCCCTGTCATTGTAAATATAGCACTTACACCCAAAGATGTGAAAATATTTCACACTTGGTGCCTTACCTTTCCATATTTCATATGAAGTTAATCCAGTTTCCTTCCTGCAATATACACGGTTAATTATATGACATGTCGTGTTCACAACTTCTGCCCACCATCTTAAGGACATGCCCTGAGATGCTAACATTACTCTTGCCATTTCTTGAAGGGTCCTGTTCTTTCGTTCAACAACCCCATTCTGCTGTGGAGTGATAGGAGAAGAAAACTGGTAAAATATACCACGTGATTCACAATATAACTCAAAACCACGGTTCTCAAATTCCTTACCATGGTCACTCCTGATTGCCACCAGGTTGGTTTGTTTTTCATTTTCAAGTTTTAAAACGAGTTTTTTGAAGGCATCAAGTGCTTCAGACTTATCTTTAAGAAAGTCAACTCAAGAAAATCTAGAAAAATCATCCACACAGATTAGAATATACTTCTTACCGCTGTAGCTTTCAACCTGAATTGGTCCCATCAAGTCCATGTGGATCAGTTCCATAACACGGTTTGTACTGACCTCTGCCAACCTCTTATGCGAAGCCCTTTTAAGTTTTCCCATTTGGCATGATCCGCAAACTCGTGGTTCTTCCTTTTTCAGCTTCGGCAATCCTCGAACAACCCCTGTGGAAGAGAGTTCAATCAGGTGAGGATAGTTAATGTGACCTAGTTTTTGATGCTATAGTTCAGTCAAATCAACACTGGTTTTATTACATTTCAAATCAAGTTCCACAAGATAGCAGTTATCCCTGGACCTAGTACCAGTAAGAACGTGTTTATTTTCTTGATCAGACACATGACACTGAGTTTTAGTAAAGTTCACATACAAACCCTGATCACATAATTGACTGATACTCAAGAGATTTGCTTTCAAGTTTTGAACCAAGAGAACATTTTTAAGTTTGGGCAGACCAGGAACATTCAAGCACCCAATTCCAAGAACCTTATTTTTTGCCCCATCACCAAAGGTGACAGAACTGGAGGAGACATGCATAATATTGGTTAAATTAGACTTCAAACCTGTCATATGACGAGAACATTCACTATCAAAATACCAGTCAGAGTTAGATGTGGATTTCAAAGCAAGTATGGAGGACAAACATACGTTCTTACGTTCCTTAGGAACCCAGATCTTTTTCTGTTCATGATTTACTATATCAACTTTTAACTTAGGAGCTTTCATGGGAACACCATGAGGACTCCAGTCATTAATTCGACTCGTGTAAATATCATTATGCATTCTATAGCACTTGGGATGAATATGACCGCGAATCCCACAGTAGTGACAGACTGGTACAAAGTTCTTAGCAGAATTATTGTGTTGAGCCTTTGGAGAGTGTGACTTACCTTTCTTGGAGTCAATTGAGTATCCCTCTTTAACAAAAGTTAGATCGGCCTTACTCAGTAATGAGATTGATTCTCCAACCTTTCCTTTCAGTTTCTGGTTCTGGACATTCTTACTTCGGTTGGATGAACCAATCTGCTGACTTAGTTTTTGAACTTCAGCATATGATGCCCTTGGCTTGTTGATCATTCGGACAACTTCTTCACTCTTACTCAGTTTTTCTTCGAGGGTAGAACAATAGGTCCTAAGTACCACATGTTCCTCCATTACCCTACCGAGTTCCTTCTTGAGAGCAACTATTTCATTTTCTCTTTCTCCAGCAAGACTTTGCATAGCAAACAATTCGTTGCGCAGAGATTCGATGGTAAAACTTTGTTCTTCACTAGCCTGTTTGTTGAGTTTATCGCCATGCTCAACCAGTGCTAGCTTTGCGAAACAACTATTTAGGTCCTTGTCTTGTTTTCCAATGTGAAGGTCTGATCTGATGAGTTTCTCATTCAAGTCAACCGTCATTACTCTCATCTTCTGAAGTTCGTTCCGGAGATAGTCAATCTCCTTTTCACGTTCGGCAGAATGTAGTTCCACAACCTTCATCTTCTGTTTTTTAGCCTGGTATTTTTGATGATATCCCTTGCCTTGAGACACTTTTTGATGGCGTACTTGTGGAGTACAAGATTTTCGGCAGCAGGATCCGAGAATTCATCAGAGTCCACCTCGCTCAAGTTTTTTGCGTAAGAACCTGCATCACATTCAACATCATTCAGATGAACAGAGGAAGTAAAATAGTTATACTCATTAAGAAGGAATTTAGCCGAATTATTAGAGTAGTTAGAATTCTCAGTCATCTCAGATTCTTCCTCTTCGTCATCACTGGAGTCGGACCATGTAGCCTTGAATGTCTTATTCTTCTTCTTGAAATTAGGGCACTCCTTTTGAAAGTGCCCGAATCCTTTGCACTCACGGCACTGGTCTTTTTTTACTCCTTGGTTAGCATTCTGAAACTTATTGAGTTGCATGCCAGACCGCCTTTCTCCAAATTGCTGAATTTGGTTCCTACCACCTTCAAAGGACTTGTTGCCCTGGAATCTCTTTTTCTGGAATTTCTTCAGCTTCGAGACATTCTTGGTAAGCACGGTGAGAGCCTTTGTTATTTTGTCAGGATAAAAAGATTCTTCATCGGATTCGTCATCCTCAGCAACTGTAGTACGAACCTTGGCCTTTAACGCTAGCCTTTTCCCTTTGCTTATCCTCATAGAGTCAAAGCCATGGTTGATTTTAAAGGTACGAAGTTCGCTTAGAAGATCATCGATGCCAAGTTTCTGAATCCTCTGAAAGCTTTCTAGGGCAGTAATTTTGATTCCAAATCTATCCGGTAGAGTTCTCATCAGTTTCTGAACTTGTCTAGCTTCAGGAACCAGCTCACCAAGCATTACACTTTGGTTAACCAGGTCGCAGAACCAAGCATAATACATGTCAATGGTTTCATCCTCCCTCATACGGATATCATCGAGCTCAGTTGAGACTCTTTGGAGCTTTGACGTTTTAACCGCATTCGTGCCTTCAAATTGTCTCTCCAAGATCCTCCAAGCTTCTTGAGCAGTCGTGCACTGAATTATTATCTTGTGCCGGGTGGGATCTACAGCAGACATGATAGCATATAAAGCTCGAAAATTAGCCTCTTCTGCTTGCTTTTCATTGTCGGTCCAGATGCTCCTTGGTTTTTCAACCAGTACTTTGGTAGTTGACGACTTCCCATCTGATGACTCACCACCCTTAGTCTCAGCAGGAACTTTTTCTTGGAGTGGTAAAGTCCAACCATTCTCAACAGCCTGCCATGTGCCTTTACCAATAGATCGAAGGAAGATCACCATCAGGAATTTCCAGTACGAGTAGTTGGAACCATCAAGAAACGGAGGGTGCGTAACAGACATCTCATCATGACTCATGGTTCCCGATACACAGTCCCAAAGATCTTTATCCCGTAGTTAGAACAGGAACACTGCTCTGGTGCCAATTGAAACGTATAATTATACGGAGTGCGCTGTTTATTGTATGAACTAGACCAAGAACTGAATAATGCAGAAGCAATAAACCAAAGATTAAAAAACTCTTCAGGGAAGCATCCCACTTCCCCTCAGAGCTCTTTCATTGATAGATCGAACACGAACATAGTTTGGACTTACAATGACTCAAACTCCCTTTAAGCCTAGCCAACACTACTCACGATCCTACCAACTATTTCTCCGGCCACGTCCCGTGGACTTTTTATCTTACACTTACTCTCTAAGTGTAAAAGCAAAAGACAGTTTGATGAAACTTAAGAAATCAAAGCAAAACAGCTTCAGTCCTAGAGTTTGTAAGAACTCTTGTACTGAACTATGTACAACTGAGTAGAACAGAAATGTGAAGCTCGAATATTGCTCTAAAATATCTTCAAACTCAGCAGCCGCAATAAGATCTTCCTCTAGGGTATTTATACAAACTCCTTAGGGTTGGAGTCTTCTTCAAGGTAGGACTCTTAAGCTTGATTTCCTTCCAAAGTTATAGCTTATCTTAGGTAAGTGAATCTTCTATTCTCTCTCATAGATCTCCTCATTATGCACGCCTCTTCTCTTTTTATCTCCTTTACGTCCGATTTCCTACAAGATAAAATACCATAATAAGACCATAATATCTTATATATGGAATATAAAATAAACTTAATTAAGGAAATAGAATATTTAAAGATCTTCCCTTTTTCTGTGGTTCCAGGTGCTTGTTCGAACTAACGAACTAATGCCAAAATAAAAATATCTTTCAACATGTATGTCTTTTCGTGCTTTCGTACGTTGGAGAACTGATTGTAAACAATGAGCTAAATGCATCAAAACTATAGACGGATCCCGCCGGCAACTAGTGGAACCAATCTTGAGCAGAGCCCGTCAAGGTAGTAAAAAAGGCCCTGCAACAAACACCATCGTTGTAACGATGCAAAACAACCACATTCTCAAAACTCCTCAAATTTCTAGCTGGATCCGAAGACCCATCATAATATATGCTTGGCTCCCTAAAGTTTTGGGGAAAGTCGGCTCTCAACACATTGTCTGTAAAAGGGTGACCTTGCACCCTGGGCTGCCACCTACCCTCCACCCTAGCTTGGAGCTCCTTTATCTGGTTCGCCATCTGCTCCATCAGCACATCCCTAGATGGCTTGAGAACCATGGGCGACGTCACTGACCTCTCATCTTGATCATCCCTGCGGTGACTACCTCCTCTTAAAGGCCTAGATAGCACGGGGATATGTTTCTCAACCTCGACAGCTGGCTGCTCAGCAACAATGACAGGCTGCTCCACAGCCACAGCGGACCTCTCCACCACCGTGCTTGCCTTTCTACTATTGCGGCAGACCTCTCCACTATTGCAACAGGATTTTCCGCTATCGCCGCCTCTCGTGCAGCCAATGCCCGACCTACTGCCTCTGCGACGATGTGATCCAACTCCCCTCTAGTCAATTGCATCACCTGCTCTCTTCCCTCCGTCACCACCGCCAGCACCTGTGCCCGCACCACCAACTCCTGACTCGCTCCCTGGGTCACCAATTCCTGCTCTTGATCCGATAGCGGAACTAGGGGCACCCCTTGTAATGTAACAGAAGGAGTAGTCAACGAGCTCTCTCCGCTGACCCACCCCATCGACGACCCCCCACCATAAGGTGTCTTCGCCACCCAGGCCTCCTCCAAACTCCCATCCATGTTCCTCCTTGACTACTCATCCACTATCGTTTTTGTCATCCTTGTATCCTCAATCAGTAGAAGAAAACAGTAAGTCCCCACAAACGGCGCCAATTGATATGCTATTGCTTTTCGAACCGGATCTTCTTGCCAATGGATATGCTATTGCTTTTCGAACCGGATCTTCTTGACCCTCAACCACTTGAGCCCTCAAAGACCTGCAAAGACGCCGGGAAGTATTCCGGCAGTAAACCTCCGACGCTCAAGTTAGTCGAGTATCAATCAAAGATCTGTCTAGAATTAGGGTTCATAAGGAGTGCATATGTTCAGACCTACCATGTCTCCCATTTTACCTATTTATGCATATCTGTCTAGATTGCTTTCCACGCTTCCATCCTTGACCACTAGATTTTCCAATCCCTATTGATCCTAACACCACACATGTCCATCATATAATGAGTAACCCATCTAAAACCCGAGCCACTAATATGGCTGGGCCACAGTTATCTCCGTTGGACCGACCTACCCGTAATACCATTATGTCAAGCCCTTTAAGGTCGGGCTACTAATGAACTATCAGGCCGGGCTACTTCTGGGCCGAACAACTATGTGCCGATTTACCGAGCCACTCTTTTATGCTATATCAGAATCCAATATCTACATCGCTCACCATTCGGGAAAGAACGTACCGAGTTTCTTATGGTGGAATTTGTCAATGTATCACCACTTGACATTTCTCCATTCTGCTTGGGTCCCACAAGTGAACACAAACCATAAGGTGATTTTTACTTGTTCATAACTGATTAGAAATTAGAATCCTTTGTAATCCATATGTTGATTATGGTTCATTTGGTAACGCTACATAGTATCCGTAGCCCTGTTAAGGCACTTGATCATATGTTCTACCATAAACCATTGCTCCCATCTAGGATTACTTTGATATTTACTAACCATGCAATAAATATCAACCCTCATCTATTGCATATACTAGGCTTCCTATTGCCATGCATAAGGACTACCTCTGTATCATGCAAAATAGAATGAGCCTTATGATAGTCTAGACATGAAAATTAGGATAATCGCAACATATCTTTCTTGTGATCCTCAATCTCAAGAATATCTATTGATTCTGAATCTTTCATGACCAACTACTTGGATAACCATACCCTTGCGTCTGTCAACAATTTCACACTATCTACAGTGATCAAGATGTTGTCTACGCCCATAGTACAAAATACCATCACGCTTCCATTGCGCGACACACAATGCACATTTGGTGAATGATCAAATCCATGATTTGAAATTATCGGCCAAACGTTCGGCCACCATAGTCCATAACTGGACTGTGTCAGCCTACTAACTAAATGCTCTTAAGCCCTTTTCTAATGAACACTTCTGGGTGATGCTCCGTAGATATTCCTACAAGACTCCCGATTAAGGAAAATTTCTTGACATCCACTTTGCCTAACTCATAACTCATATGAATGGAATCAGCTTTAAATTCGGCTACCGATGAAATAATTAACTCATAATAAATCCCTTTCTTGCTGAGTTCACCATTTCACAACAAGCCTTTCTATGTACAGGCTTAAAAACGTCTACGGGTGAAAAGCTAACTCATAATAGATCCCAATCTTTCTGAGTCGGCTATTTCACAACAAGCCTTGTACTACAGTCTTCACTTATCGATTTCGTCCAATAGCATGTATGGTGCTCCGTAATTGTATAAGATCCCAGATCTAATTAGAGTCCACGACCCTAAATCAAAAATCATTAAAAATTTGCTCAGTTTATGCATTATTGTCTTGGATATTCTCATTGTATAACTAAGTGTCGATTCAAGTTTACTCAAGACCAAGTCCGAGACTTTCTCAAAACATGAATTCCATGAACTTGTGATTAATACAGACTGAGTCCAACGACTCTCTTATTATCACGAATGGAGTTGCCCTGCAACCCTCCCACTGCAACGAGGTTCCTTCTGCAAAGGTGTATAACACAAAATACATGTTGTTGTTTTCCTTGTGGTATCACATTTGTACACTTGGTAACAAAGTTGAACTTTCACCATTGTTTTTCCTTAAAACAATTCTACAAATGAGCTTAGTGATTTATTACTTAGTATTCCTTTAACAATCAGACATTCACGCTAACGAACATATTCTGGTTTTTAGTACTATAATAATCCACTCGTTTCTTGTTACTATGAAGTATCCCACAAATAGCCTAATTTCTGAACGTCCTTTCCAATCCTAGTAGAACGAACTTTCTAGCACATGTCTGAAAAGCTCTGAATCCGAATATGTTCCTGGCAAGGCCTAAGCCTTGCCAACAATTCATTCACAGTAATGAGTACTAAGCTTAGATAGGATTATGTTCAGAACTTATACTCCTATTTGCAAAACTCCAATACAAAAAAGTGAAATTCCTAATAACTCATCATTGACATAACCAATCTTTTTGGGAGACAATTTCCTTCGGTCTATTGCACCGTCCTGTTCAATGAACCAGGTGAAACACGTTGAGATCGAATCTCAACATCCAATAAGTATTTCTGTAATTTTCTAAAAGGTATTAGTCACTACGATCTTTATCGTAATGCCACTGATACATTAATCTCGACATCTTTCCATAACTGCCACTATACTCCCTCGAAGTACTCAAGCTTATGAAGTGTCACTTAATGTACCCTGTCTTGAACAAAACTCTTCGTAGAAAATATTCAAACTACCTTTTGTCCTAAAATCATCAAACTTTACAAATTGGATGAACCAGCTTAACATTTATTTGTCTTCTAAATCCTCGACCTTCAAAAGTCATTTACGTGATTTTAGCTACCAAGTATAATTCGTAGGTCTGATAGTTTAATCCAATCCCGAAGAATCCATAAGTTCAATGGCTATCCACCTTTGAATTCTACTAACTCTTACAATCACTAGATGCCAAAATAATGTAATGATTTATTTATTGAACGACCTTTCTTCTTATTGGTTTTATTTGACGTGTTACTTGTTTCATCTATTGCAGTGTGAGACATATTGGTTCACTGAGTATATCGTCTACCCACGTACCAAATGGATAAAACATCACGTTTTCATCCATACACAATTTAGAAATTG